CCTGGCTTAGCAGCCTCAACAGGAACATGAGGAAGTGAGAGGCTCTCAGCTTCTTGGAGGAAGGTGGAGATCACTGTACTCCCACAGTCCCCAGCACCGAGGATCTCCCTTTCTCAAGACTATCCCTTCCAGACTCCCTAAAGAAGGAAAGGTTTAGAGAGCAACCTAGTCGGTACCATCACTAAACTGCTGTACTCAAGTCTCCCACCCAGTGCAAAGCAAATAACTGCTGTCAGATTCCAAGTAGATGTGAGCAGGACAACTAAGATTTAGGGGTTTTCCGGTAAAACTGCATTCAGATTGCTTTACTAGTCTTAGGCTCTTTCTACTTTAAAGAAAGTAGAACTCAGGGACAGTGTTGGGATTTTTCATCAATATATCCAGAGGCTTTGATCGGTCCTTAAAGGTATGGAATGTCAGTATACACTTTTGTTTTTTGAGCCCAAAATATTTAAAGGGGTGTATGTACAGTTTATTATGATGCTCGCACTTTATTCTATGAATTAACTACACTAGTTCCCATCACGAACTACTACTGAAGATTTTCATGTTATAAAAAAGAGGTAAAATTATGTCCAAATATAACTGGACAACTCAAGCAAATGGAAAACAATTAGAAATAAAAGGGGCTGGGGATTTAGCTCCGTGGTATAAGTGCCACCTTCCTCCAAGAAGCTGAGAGCCTCTCACTTCCTCATGTTCCTGTTGAGGCTGCTAAGCCAGGGAGTTTTCATTCCTTGGAGGCCAAGTAGACCATAAGGTCCTCTGTTGCTGTAGCTACACTCATTACCATGAAAGAAAATGAACTTGACACAGTGGCTGTTGAGGGCAATGCCAGTCCCAGCATTGAAAGTAGATGAGCAGGTGTCACCGTCAGTACAGGAGATGAGTCAGTCCTCGTGCCTAGCAAGAGGTTGCAAATTTGACCCCCGGTACCAAAAAGCAGAAAGAAAGAAAAAAAAATATAGGTGTACATATTAAATACTTCTGAAAGGTTTATTTACAGCAGGGCCAATCATATAGAATGTACCTTCTAAGTATCAACTATAATTCCTAACATATTCCTAGCTATGATTTTTACCTCATATTAGTTATTATGCTATTACTTAGAGAAAAAACAGATGGGCCTGTATCTCCACCTAATATACATGCATAGTAAAGTTAGCTGAATTGAAGAATTAAATGTAAACTGAGGTTGTAAAATACTAAAACAAAATACATAGTATATAAAAATAATATTGGATTAGACAAGTGTAATAACGTCAGAGAACAAAAGGTTTGATTTGTCTCTATGTGTTCCATTAGGTAAGTCCAACCTACAAAGCACATGTACAGTGTAAATTGCAAAGAGGTTTAACCTCCTTGTCATTTAAAAAATTACTTTGCAAATACTTAGCATAATAAATGCTGTGTTAAAGCAGATCCCTTCCCAGGGCAGCATGCCCACAGTACCTTCCAGATTCTTTACGCTTCCCAGACTGTTGACAAGTCACCTTGTTTAGAGATGCCTGGGAAGTTTTGTCCCCGTTAAGGCTGACTCTTAGTGGTGATGCAGGACATTAAGCCTGGCCTCTGACCTTCATGGTGCAGTTTATGCTCTTGAGTACTGTGGGGGATTAGGCTGAGGGTAGATTTCTCCTGAAACTACAGCTTTGCCTCTTTTCTTTGGCCTGTTTCCCTCAGTTCCTTACAGAGCACTCTGAATAAATATGTCACTCCCACAGAATTCAAAAGGACTCAGCATAATAGGAAATTGAACTTATAAAGTTGATTTTTAAAAGAAGTGTCCAATAAAGATGGTGAACTTTACTGGTCATTAACACACACACACATAATGGTATTTTGAATGACAGTAACATTGTGAAAGGAAGTATAATTTGATACCTACCTTATAAATTCTTCTGTAGGTGAGAGGGGAAGGGGATGAAAAAGTAAGTGTTGCATATGTACCAACTCCCTATGAGAAATAAAATCACTGTGTACTGCCAACAGGCACTAATGAAAATTTTAAAGCTACATAAATACTTCTATAAATTTATCCTTTAGAAATAACTGGTTAGGTACAATGGGTGTGAAGATAGAATATTCACTACAATAGTTTTAAAATAATCAAAAAGTGGAAACAACCTAAATAATAACAGGGTTAGATGATTCAGTGTACACTGAAATTAAAGATATCTGTAAAAGTCATCCAGTTGAAAAAGTTGTAAAAATAAATGTATAGTGCCTAGACATACGGTACACAAATAATTCCATGGAATTAGGGTAATTGGTAATGTTGACTTTTCCCACTCTTTCCATATTGGTTAATACTTTTCTTACATAAGAGAGGAGGGGAAATTCTTCCACTGGGTGTGGAGAGGAAAGGAAACGCAATATGATAGTGTGGCTTGGGAAAAAGTAAAGTACAACAGGAACACATGTGAGAGAAACAAAAAATGTACAATTTGCGAATGACTTCTGGGAGGACAGAGTTAAACCAAAGGCGATGGAAGAGAAGAAATTATTCAGTGCATTGGGCTGGGCTGGGATAGAAAGGAAGAATCCCAGGGAGCTGGCATTATACATGAAAACTTCACAGCAGAGGACTGGATTTTTTAAGGAACTAAAAACCCAGTAGATCTAAAGTTTAGAGTTTGTTTAGGAAAGTACAGACAAAAACAAAGAAAACAGGAGGAGGAGGAAGAAAAGACAAGTCAGATTTTTAAGGATTTTGTGAGGCATGTTAAATTTTCAGTTCAACAGAAGGGTAATGGGAAGTCATTAAGGCTTTGGAAAAGAAGAGTGACGTCATCAGATTGGCATTTTAGAAAAAATTCATTGACTGCAGCTTGAAAAACATACCAGTAAGCCCAAGGTAATTAAGTGTGAAGGCCAGGAGCCCATGTTTGAGTAATCTAGAGTAATGGGCCTGAGCAAAGGGAGAGGTGATCCAAACTAGGACAGAGGTGCTTGGGATTGGAGGATGTGGACAGATTACAGAGCTAGTTAGTCTGTGTGCTTGGAAGAGTCCGTGGTTGGTTAAAAAGGAACTGAGAAGAGAAAGAATGTCAAGAATAACTTCCAAGATTCTCCATTGGCCAATGGAATACGACCTTCACTGAAAGAGAAAACAAGTTATAAATAAGATTGTAGCAAAAAACCAGTGCAGTGGAAAGACGGGCGTTTATCAAAACTGATGACTCATGACAAAAGCTTGGAAGTTTTCCATTAGCAGAACTAACCAAGATTTGGTCTTTGTCTCATGAGATTTACTCTAGATTATTTCACATGCCATCTGCCTCTTTATTAATGCAAAGTGTAATAGGTGACAACACAAAAATTCTTCATTCTTTTTTCCTTTTATCTTCCCAGGTCTTTTGGGAAGAGGGACTTGAGGAACACACTTACAGAACTTAGTCACATACTAACACATCCGAGTTATGCCATGGGTGAAATAGCAAGAGAAATGTGCTTTATTTGAAAGAAATTAAAGTACCTCGAGCTTGAGTCTGACAAGCTAGTAAGAGCCTAAGGGGAGCAGAGCAGTGGTTAAAGGAGATCAGGAGGGAAATAACAGAATGAAACAGCTATGAAACTCAGATCCTGTGGGACACGGGCTCCCTAGATGAGTAAAAGACTAGACAGAAAAGGTACAACAATATTCCAGACCATCCTTACAACTCCATCTGTGTCCATGACCAAACAACTGGAAGACTTTAAATGTTATGTACTGCGTGGACTCTCCCAAGATGGCGGAGGCACATGTAAGAGGTTAATATATATGCACCCACCCAGAGCGAGTAACACTTGGAGGTACAAATGCTACTGTTCCACATCAGCCTTCCTGGGCCTTGTATTTCCCGAACTGTCCTATACCCCCATATCCTTGCCACTTCCTGTGCTCCTCCTACTGCTTGGAGTGCTCTATGCTGGAGTGATTCCAGTTTATCTTTTAGAGCCACTCCAGAGGCCACCATGTCAGACTAGGCTCTCTCTTTCTCTGTCTCTCTCCCTCCCTCTCCCTCTCTCCCTCTCTCTCTCTCTTCTCCTCCCCCTTTCTCCCTCTCCCTCTCATCCCAGGGAAGCCCACAGTTTCATGTATCCTAGGCAAACCACTCTACCACTATGGTACATCGCCACCTCTTTGTGTTTTATTTTCATACAAGGTTTCGCTAAGTGTCCAAGTCTCCTCTTGCCTGGAATTTGTGGTCCTCTTGACTAAATCTCCCAAGTAGCTGAGATTACAGGCATGTGCCACACTATACCTGGCTCAGAGGACTCTTTCTAGAAACTTCCTCCTTTTCCACCGAATGGATACTAGTCATCTAGCATCTAGTCACAGATGCTAGTCCGTGTCTTTTCCCTTTCATTGTATTTATCACAGATTGACACTGTACGTTTGTTTCTAATTATTTTTTTAAAATCGATTTGTTCCAGGACTGGGCACAGACAATGTGTATATTTCTTGTCAAATGTCTTAGCATCTTCCCTAACACCTGGCAACAAAACAGCTCCCAGTGGAGGTCAAAAGCCACTGAACCAGTGTATTTTTATGGGGAGACTTTACTCCTACCAGCTTTTGTCCACTGGATTAGTCTGAATACCTTGGGTTAACTTCTTGAGGAGCAGTTTTAACTTGTAGGAATCTTTCTGCCCACCAGGGGTCTCTTTCTCCACACCATTAGAGCCCTAAGGACTTGAGAGTCTATGTGGTGTATTAGGGGCCCTCAGTCTTGCAGCTCAGTGCTGTTGCAAGACCTTTGTATCCCTGGAGCTTGCTAGAAATACAGACTCCCAGGTCTCATCTGATAATGGCTGAATCTGAATGTGCATTTTAACAAAATCCTTAAGTGATCTTTATTTTTCTATTCCCTAGGTGATCTTTATACACATTAACTGCTGAGAGTGCTATTATACAGGATATTTTTAATCTAAGAAACTTGAAAAGAGAAAGTCTTTCTAAATGGCCTTTACCACATGGGACTTTCCCACCGTTATTACAAAAGGACTTAGAGCCGTAGAGTTTCTTTGCTTTTATTATGAATATAAAATATAAATACAACACAATATACATCTGCACATTTACAGTTTGTATTTCCTTTCACCTTTGTTGATTAAATCAGTTCCATGTGGCTCTAATGGTAGCTCTTTTCACTGACCTGCCATACACTTCTGCCATCTTTCATCCTGGTACCTTGTGCAAATTGGTCAAAGAAAAAAAACAAAACAGGTCCAGCAATGAAATGCTGACTTTACTGCCCTTTCCATAGAATGGCTTTCAGTCTTTTGTTTCTTTCCTGTTACTACAAGTCTTCCATTGCTCGTTCAAATGCCAACACTAGACTAGATGTTCTGGAGAAAACATGCCTGCAGTAACCACCCTTGTCCTTTCAAAATGCCGTCAACTCTCTTTTGTGAGTGAGGACACATAAGTAGGCACTTAGCACTGCTCCTCAACATGGTAGAATTATCTACAAGAAGGCACTGAATGTGGAGATAAATTAAATTTTGTTCACCAAATGGATGCTCATGAAAGTCTGAATATCAATGTCATATAAATAAATAAATTAACAGGAATAAATAAAATAGAGTGAGTTTCACTGAAGGAAACAAACACCTATAACCCTGTGCTTTCCTAAAGCTTCATTAGGTGCTTCCTCATAATAGGTTGATATCAGGCGCTGGGCTTGATGGCTGCTCACTCTTCTCAAAGGCCGTCCCTTTGAAGTGCCAGTGAGCAGCTACAGATAAAAGTGTCTGCTAGAAGGTAGCCATGCGCGAGGTTTTGTAAGAGTTCTCCTTGAGGCTGTCGAATACTGCTTTGGTTCCATTCTGCCAGTGCAGCACCAGGTCCATCGGGGTCTTCCCAGCCTAGAGAAGGGAGGAGAAAATTTGAGTTGCGGGTGGGAGGCACCTGTCGCCACATTCAGTCAGTGCGTATGCTAATGAAGTGTATGATACCAAGGTGTTGTATGGTTTCCACTAGGAGTGATTTGCAGTTTATATTCAAACAAGCCCTTCACTGTTTCTCACAAAAATGATTCTGGTAGTTTAGATGAGTCCATTGCAGATCTACTCCAGTGCTGGTAAAATTCCTGGTTCCTAGACACCAAATGGTAAGAGCCCTCACATCATTTTGAAAGTCAAGCTATACATGTAGATACTTACAGTATCCTCCAGAATGGGCTTTGGGAAATTGCAATATCTCTTTTGACCCTATCAATTTGGAAAATAGTTCTTGAACTGATAAGAAGTGGGGATAAGTGAATATCTTGGCTTAATTGCCCAAGCGTTACCATGCTGCCATGACTGCTCCTGAGAGCGAATTCTCCACTTCTCAGGATTTATACTGGCAGTTCCAAGAAATTTACTTTCTTTGGAGTTTATGGAGTGGCAGAAATAATTTTTGAGGCAAAATTTTATTTCCTTTATGCATATATCTCAAGATATTTGTAAATATTAAAACCATGTCACTTCTCAACTCTTGTCTTTAAATATTAGAAATTTTAAGTTTTTTCAGTTATATTTATTAAAAGTCCAGGTATGCAAACTGGCAGTTGTAACATTCAAACAGTTCATTTCTGTCGTTTGCACCTAAATTAAATGAAATACAATTTAAGAAAAATATTTTTCCTTTCTTTTATATATATATTTCAATCTGGATATACATATATCCAGATTGGAAACCCAGTACTTATGAATCCACAGAGCAACAATTGGCTCAGCAAGGCAAAACCACCCTTGGGGTCCAGTGCAGAGACCCCAGTAGCCACTTGCTTAAGTCATTTAGAGGTGATTTCCCCAGCCCCTGTGGACATTAAAATTGGTGGTGCTAAAACCTCCATTTTGGAACTTCACTTCTATAGGGACTTTCTTGAAGAATGCGCCTTAGTAGATGTGATTACTGAGCTTTGGACAATGATAAAATATATGTTGTTTCAAATCCACTTTAAGATAATATCCACTAGCTTTGTGGAGAGGGAACATCCATCTCTCAAGTCAGTGACATTAATAGCTCCCAGTCCCTTCTACTGAGGGCTAACTGATAATTCACAAGTGTGAGTCCTGTTTGCTTATTTTGAACTAATCTTCCACAAATCCCTTGCGTTCTTCTCTATTGAAATTTACCTCCTGATTTTCTGACTACTTACACACTCTCTCCATATCTGTGTGCTATTTATGTCTGCTGGTCTTCATTCTTTTCTTCATCTTTGGTGATTTCTCTGAATCTACGCTTTCTCTGCTAGCTTAAATTATTAATCAACATCAATCACAGTATTCAGCATAAGGGCAGATGACTGTTAATACTCTCCATCCCAAACAAGTCCATTTACCACTGTTCTTGTCACCAAACCAGATTTCTTTTTTTCTTTTCCCTTTTATGATAAAATATATCTTTCTCAGTCTCACGATGACACAAATAAGGGAAGGAATTTATTTGCATTCAGAAGATGACATTTTTCTATTTTATAAAGAGATTCTACAAAATTTTAAAAATTATTTTTCCATAAATTATACCTATTCCTCTTGATGATATCTTCAAAGATTATTAGATGAAATATTTGAGGAACTGGGTCTATGAGGAAAAGTCACTTACATTGCCTACTTACAGATGAAATTAAATTACTTTCTGTACTTACACATAAAATTTCAGAACCTTATTATAGGAAATTATTTTGAGACATTTACAGATAAACCCAAATGGAGGATGGGAAGAAACTATCTGAAAAATACAGGCAAAATCATAGCTACCCTGGAAGAAAGTGGTAGCATATAATGTAGTTATAAAGGAGAAATGGACTATTTTGAATTACTCAGCTTGAATATCAACTATTTTTAGTTCATTTGGTACATGATCCACTGTGGAATTTGCACCAATTCGAGGAATAGTGGGTGTATCAGTTCCTAACTGCCCCAAACCCAGGGCAGCCAGAAATGAACAAGACAAATTAAACTTCTCATCATAGGTGTTTGTGAAGGTGAGCAACTTTGATATCTTTTATTTCCAAGACCAAATTTTAAAAGTGTTATTATGTAAAATTTTTAAAAAAGCATTATTATGTGCCATGTTAGGTACAGAAGTCATAGCAGTAGTGATGGCTTCCTATATTTCTGAATATCTGACCTGAATCCTTGCAAAGTCCTTGCCACATATTATGGGCAGGGCCATTTAAACCATTGGTAGATCCTTCAAAATATTACTAATGTAATATTAATTTTAAATATATTGTATATTTGATTTTAAGTATTTAAGAAATATCTGGAAATTAAAATGCCCACAAGTGGTGTCCCTTGTTCAAGCACTTACACAGTTCTTGATGTTGAGGTCAGCGCCATACATAATCAGAAGTCTGACCATCTTATAACGGTTCAGTCTTACGGCATCATGCAGTGGGGTATCTCCTTCCTAGAGAGGCAGAGTAAACAGGTTAGTGGAGGTGGGCAGGCAGGCAGTAGTCTCAAGAGGCCATCCAGGCTTGCTGGAGTGATTACAAATCCTGTGCGCTACTCACTCTGTCTTTGGCATTGAGATCTGCCTCGCAGGCGATGAGGTGCTCTGCACACTCATAGTGGCCGGTCCTCACAGCCACGTGAAGCCCAGTGCTGAGAAGCTGGAAAGTTAAGACATGGTGGTTTGCCTAGGTGTCAACACAGAATCTATCCCAGTCCCCAAGGCAGGAGTTAGGGGAGACAGAATTATGGGGCCCACATGAAATGAGCTTCCAGAGATCTCAGTGGAAAGGCAGGGTCAGTAAGTGGAGAGGAAGAAGGCAGAGGCAAGGTGGGTGCTGGGAGGGGAGATACCTTATCTCGGGCACTGATTTTTGCACCCTTGTTCAGCAGCAGTTTTAAGACATCCAGGCTTCCTCCGCGGCATGCCCAATGCATGGCTGTGGATTCAAGCTACATGAAAAGATAAAGGGACACAGAACTGTAATAGAAAGCCTACTCAAGGGATTCCTACATGGTTTCTAAGGTCCAGCAGAATGCAGGTTTGCTAGGGCATGCAAGATAGCACTGGGCAGTCCTCATCAGATGGCCAGTTCTCACTGTTGCAGTTGAAGGGTCTTGTCACATGTTTTAGCAAACAGTGAACATGTGTGTGCCCACTCATGTGTGTACTTTCCTGCATATGTGTATGTCATTAGGAGGCTCTCAAAAAGTATAACAAGTTTTTAAAAGAATAAAATTTATTTATTCTCTATTTATTGAGAATTTCCTCATACCAACATAGTTCTATAACTTCTAAATATCTTGACCCTTCCAGCAAACTATGAAATGGTGTCACTATGCATATTTTTCCCAAGAGCATATAATAAGTGGCAAAATAAATAAACAAACTCACTTTTAACCACTTTTTTCACATAGATTCAAAATTTCTAAGCATGTGCATTGAACAGTTCTGGTAGAATAAAAGCAGCCCCCTTCCGATCCTCTGAATCTGGGTCTAACACCGGATCCCCAGTCCCTGCTGCTCTCTGCCTGTTTCTTCATGCTGCTCTCTGAGGTCAGTTATGCTAGAGCAGCCTTGATCCTTCATTGTCATCACTGCAGTTGCTGTGCCTTGCACTGAGTTGTACGGGACTGACTCCTCTATTCAGTGTGTCTCGCTGCTCTGGCCTTCCAAGTCCTACACTCATGATTTTTGGTTCCTCTCCCTGAAACCTTTATTATTATTTGTATCTTTTCTTTTCTCAGTGTGTTTGAGGTTCAGTTTGGGCCAAATCCTTTTGAGTTTTGTCTTTTGGTTTTGATTGGGTTTTTTTTGCTATTCCTTTCCCATGTCACCATAAAATTAAATTGAGCTCCATTTAGATAAGTGAAGCACTCTCCCAGCTCAATCTTCAGTTTATAAAATATGCTGTATACTGGTCTTTGTAGAAATCAACAGTGGTTGAATTATTAAGATCTGAATAGCAGCTATTTTCCTTAGATGCAATTCATTTAGCCTGCAGCCTAGCTCCAAATCTCATTGATAGCAATTGGCATCTAACATATAAAGTGTGCCACTAAAAAACATATGACCTTGTTGGCAGCCAAGGGCAAAAAGCAGGCTGCTGTGTGTAGTGGAAAGCAGAGGTGTTGAAAGCAAGTGTTTACTGTATTACTTCTGAATAATTCTACTGACCACTGAATGACCTAACTCTTTGATGAGGTTATTGAATTCTGTTCCATAACTTTCTGCTTCTGTTTCTTCTGGAACTTTCTCCTTTTCAGTATGCACGAGAAATACTTTCCACATGACCCAGCCCTGCCTCTCAACTTTTCTTTGTATGGAGAAATGAGGTTTTGCCTAGTTCTCTCAGATCAATTTCAATCCAATCAGCCCATTTTTTCATTGTAGGATTTCTAGAGTTCTGTACAGTATTTGTGTTGGCCCATCTCCTAGCAAAGAAATATATTTACCATATCACGGAATTCGATCTGGGCTCCAGCTTCTATTAACTTCTCCACGATTGCCAAGTGTCCTTCCAAGCATGCTCTATGAAGGGCTGTCCGTTTGTACTGTCAGATATTTTTGAAAAGATAACAATGCATATGTAAATGTGTGTAATCCTTTAAAAAGCATGAGACTGAGTAGTCTTATGATCTACTTAATAAAAACTCAAGTGTTTCTTTATGAACTAGCAATGTCAAAGTTAGTTGGAATTGCAAAATTAGAACAGTTATCTTTCAACTGTGATTTGAGCTTCCTCTCTCAACCATTTGTAGGTGACTGAAGGTCTACACAGGGGGATATGGACTTACAACTTAACGCTATGCAAATGCTGACGTTTCTCTTTCTTATATTTTCCACCATTCTTGTTCTTGAAACATTTGCCATACACATCCAGTGTTCTTTCATCTAGAAGTGTTGCTAGTTTGCTCTCAAAAAATATCTAATTCATTTTTAATAGAATGGGAGACTCATTTTTGATGTGAACCCCTATTTCACTGAATGGGGTCAAGTATACAAAAAGATTAATGACGTTTAGCTAATTGGCTTCACAGGAATGAGCTAAGAGGCTCATTCTAATAAGAAAGGAAATAACTTGGAACATTATTTTACCCCAAGACTTGCATTTTCAGAAAAGGACACTGAGGCTGGAAGAATATAAATGAACTATTTAAAATAAAATAGTCAAGTAGTAATAAAACTAGAAATTGAACTCTACTCTTTAGATTCCCTGAGTACTACTGATGTGTTTGGATCCAAAGATGATGTTAATATTATGTTTTTCCAAAAGTAGCTTTTCAGCCTTGCCTTCTTAAAATTCTATCTCAAGAATCTAAGAAGTTACAGACAAAGGAAAAATCATCCAAAATTATATATGTACAAAAAAACCTGTGTAAATCTATTGCATTAGCACACAAATTGGAGGTTTTAGGAGGACCACTGCCCTCTCTTGTTACGATTCTGGCATATGTGGCAATAGCTAAGAAAGTAGTTTAAGGTACAAAGACTTCGGCACCATAATCACAGGCAGCAGTGCAGCATAGGAAACAGAATTAATGAGCTGGATTTTTTAGTATTTTTTGTAAGGCTTACCTCATCACAGACATCTGGATTGTTCTTGTCTGACAAGAATTTTTCGACTACCGGTAATTTATTCTCCAGAGCAGCCTTCAGAAACTGAGGCACATCCACAGGTTCTGTCTAAAGTCCCCAAAATAGTGCAAAAATTACTATGAGCTTTCCAACATTCTATCCAACCCTCCACTGATAATTGCTCCCCTGTAGCACAATACTTGACATGTGATGCCGCAAAGTCAAACAATCCTTACGATGATTTGTGGTTCCGGTTCCTTCACAACTGGAATTTTAGCTTTTCTGTATTTTTTCCTTTTCTTCAGTTGAATGATTATTTCAAGATCTTCTAAATTTTCAAGCTTTGATCTTTGTTCTAGTTTTTTCTTTTTGAGCTAAAAAAATTCAAGTTTCAAAAATATAGTGAATTCTACTGATGTACTATGGTGGTATGTGAGCAAAATCTGCAAGAACTAAGATAAGTATGTGAGAAGTTTGAGCAAAAAAGGAAAAATATATTCAAATAAACCTTTGATTTCAATCTAGTGATTTTATATTCAAGTATTTGGAGATCTAATTTTCATCTAAGTGCCTGATTCTTACTTCCTTTGCTTATAGAAACAGTCCTTGCTAACTAGAGGGACATCTAGTTTTTAAATTATGATTTTGAAATTAATGTCATAAGCAAGTCTCAGATTTCTGTAGAATTCTTTATCATGCTCAAAGATTAAACTTTTAACTGAAAGGAATCTAATAATATGTATTGAGCTATGAAATATCAACGCCATTCTCTTTCAGGTTGTCCACTAATTAGGGTCTCTGAAACAGATTGTCCCAGGACCACAACTAAGTAGTGCACATTTTACCTGTGTTAGTAATGAAAATTCATTCCCCAACACATATTATGTCAGTGCCAATAACAGACATAGTTTAACAATGATCCATGGAGTGAAAACTACGTTATTAAGGAAGAGGTGTTTTGGTTGGAATTAGCAGACAGTGTATGGCATTGGAAGTTCATTACACTTAATTGTCTTTTCAAATTTATCTTTCAATCAAAACTTGGTCATAGCACATTGAACCATTATTGAAAGTCCAGAGGTCACGGTCTTGCCTAAGAATCACTCCTCCAAACCTCTTCTAGATACCCTGCCTCTGCTGTGTTATGGGATAGAATTCGGTAAAGAAACATTTTTAAAATAGTTTATTTTTTTTGTTTTCTCTTCCCTGCCACGTCCATCCCCCAACCTAACCTCAGCCTCCCCTTGGTAGATTCCACAGAAAGTTCTTACCTCCGCCTCTCGCTGTTTCTCATTTTCCCACTGTTGCTCTGCCAGGCTCATGTGGTGCTTTGGAAGAGTCTTCAGATCCTCCTGCTTCTCCAAAGTAACCGCAGCCTCATACTCCCCATCTCTGAAATCCTCAGGAAGGAATTCCCTCGCCTCCCCACTACTGTCCTTCTTCCCTGTGACCTACAAGGGAAGATGCGGGGTCAGAAGCAGAGGTACCTGTCTGGGAATCTTTCTCTACACAAGATGCGATAGGATGTCCCTGATCTCCCCTTTCTAGTGGCAGCCACCTCCAAATACTGTAGTGTGCTTTCAGATCTCAAGCTGCAGCCTGTAGGTACAGACACCCCAGGATTATCTTCAGGTGTCTGACCTATTCCCTAGGTGAACCAAGGGTTAGATCAGATTGATACACTTAAATCCACTTTTAATCCACATAATCATATTTCTCACAGGAACTTTATAAACCTCCCTCTACTTATTTAAAATTCTTTCATTTTAAGTGATTTTGACCACTGTTAATCTTGAGTTGTAAAATTTCCAGTCATGTATTCTTGCACTGAAACATCATCCATGCTAAGGCATTTTGGTAACTATATTTGATTCTACAATACTGTAACAAAGTCAAAGAAAAGATAATAAATAGGAAATAGGCACAGAAACCATTACTGGCAGCTCCGTGTTTCCCCAATTTCACTATTTTTATCACATAAACTAACTTTTTCCATACATGACATTTTGCTTGAAAGAAAATTGCATTTCAACTTACAAGTGGAAAACCAACATGAACCAGCTTTCACTGCAGAAAAAATAATCTTACATACCAGGTCCTCCACTTTCAGCACCATGATGCTGGCGGCTGTGAGTCTGTGTTTTCCTCCTGTGGAGTGAAGCCCTGGATTCTGCCCTGCTGTGCTTCTCCACCCCGGCCAGCTTATATAGTTTACGCTGGGTGAGATAATCTTCCAACCTGGGAAGCCAAGTAACACCCTCCCCCCACCAGTGGCCAACTCAGAGGCAGGTGAATTTTCATTCCAGACTCAATGTCTGGGAAGCCCAAGAGGGAGGGGATGGCAAGCTCGCTCCACTGAATATGTGAATCAGGAAGAAATGTGAGAGGGCCATTCCTTTGGTAGTGATCACACCGCTCAGCAATGTGAGTCATCCTATTTATCGAGAAGCCAGGGGACAGCTGTCTGTTGAGATTACACCACATCACTGATCTTTTTCCTTCTTTGTCAGCCTTCATATGACTGACCTATCAAGAAAATGTGAATACCCAACATGTCACACTTCCAGTAATATCTTTCTGATAACCAGACTTATCAGCACTTCACTTGGGGGAAGTGTTGCTTTAGGACATCCTATTCCCGTGAGTAAACAACCTGAGCTGAAAGGATCTGGGTCCTGATGGCACTTGTCTATATCTGTTTGGAATTCTCTGGAGTGATGTCTAGGGCTAAAATGGCCCCATGACATGCCACCTTACCATCATTGTAAGAAACTGAAAGTATTCAGCAATGCGCTTTTATTTTATGTTGTCACTGGTCATAATTAGCACATACTGTGTTCTAATACAGCGTGCTAACTGCAGCATTTTTTCTTTAAAATAGGTCAGAGTAACACAGAGATATATTATATGAGGCCAGTTATTAGCAATAGCACGACCTTGATTAGGTCATTGAGGTATAGGTCTCAAATGCTATGAAGCTTATTAAAATGCAGAGTCAGGGATGGGAATATAGCTCAGTGATATAGAATTTGTTTACCACTTGTGAGATCCTGGGTTATCACACACAGAGATCTCTAATGATCTCCAAGTCAAACCCCAGGGAATTTTGTGTTGATTTATGTTTAGACATAGAGATCTGTCTTTTTAAAAGCACTAAGGTGATTCTGATACAAGATTTGAGACACGACCAGGTAGATAATGAACTTCACTTTGGAGAGAGTAGTATAAAAGACCTGTTTCTAATTTTTTTACCTCTGAGCTGTTAAATCATGAAAAATATTTAGGTCTTCTTACAGTTCAAGGGGAAACTGAGGTTACTATCTTCAAAGTCATTTAAAATCTTATCTTTTTCAGTAAAAGAAAAGAGACAAAGGTGAGAGAAGAGCACTGAAGGAGAGAGTGTTAATTAAGATGTTTTTTACCTTTCTGTGTCTATTGCTTTCCAGATACACAACTCAACAAGCAGGATTGCCATTCTCATTTTCCCTTACAGCAATCAGCCAATGGATGGTCTTACTGGAACTTTCAGAAGGAGACACTGACACGTAAAACCCAAACACTGACAAAAAGGGACTCCTCCAGTAACTTCTATATCACATCTTCTGGCTTCTCAGTGTTCTATCTTGAAAGGGTGGTGCATAATTGAAAGACATCTAGTCTTTTCTTAGAGATGGATACAGCTAACATTATTTATCCTGGTCTCTTGAAGTAAGAAGTAGTCGTGTAAGATTTCCCTACAATTCATTTCTTATGCTCTTTTGTTCTAGTTCTAACTCAAATCGAGGAGAATGTGAGGAAATTGATTTGAGAAAGGGCCATGGATTGTTTAATGATGTTAAATATGAGATCCCAGAGTTGTTCATGCCCTTATAGTTTAGTAAGACCACAGATCTCATGTTATAGAAGGGATACTGAGACACCGTGATTTAGGTAACCTGCTTGCAATACAGAGCTAGATGATGAATGCTAGGTTGAGTATTGATTCCATCCATCAGAAACAGAAAATCCTCAAGCCCAGATCAGGTTTCCTAGGGCACCTCCTACACACACTCACTCAAAGCCCAAACAAAACTCTGAAACTGTCTCAAGTGCTCAAAACACCTGAAAGGATGAAAAACGGGTAAGAAGGCTAAGCCCTATCCTTTCTCCAGTCAATTACCCCTCAGATCTAGTTGCTTCTACGCAAGAGGCTCCAGTAAGACTTGAACAAAGTCTTTTCAGAGATTATTAACATCCGAAGGAGAAGTAATGGAATGGGGTGACTTAAAGAAAGGAGTGAGTTTGAATAGGCAAAATCACCTCCAGACCAACCTTTTCTCATGGTAATCAAGTTTGTCATGAAATATGAGAGAGGAGGTTTTTAAAAACAGATTCTAGATACATTTAGCACTACAACATAAAAGACAAATTATATTTTAAAAATAATTCTTATTCATCAGTTCATAAAATTGAACCATCATCTAGAGGAGAGTTCTTTTTCATTATTTTGAGAAGTTTCCTTCCCATAAAAGTTTACCTAGTGGATAAATTCTGAAATTTCTGTATTTACATGTATCGTAGTTTCAGCTTTGGAAATTAAAACAGCAAAGCCTCCTGTTGAACCTCCAGCCATTTAGTAATGCAGTATCATCCGTCTTATCACCAGAATGATCTTTGTGCTTTGCTAGGGTTGCATGACAAGGCTTTTCCTTCTCTCAGAATTTATATATTTTTATGAGTGGAATAGCAAATAATCGGAATTATAACCCTCCTTATAGCTGGAGAAAGTACAGGATTCCAGCACCTACTGTTGACACCAGGAATTGAAAATGGCATCTGGATCCACTTGATTTTATGTGCCATAACTCAGCTGCACAGGAAATACTCTCTTTCTGTGCAAAACTAGAACTATTAGACATTGTACCTGTACTCAGACTTCTTCTCTCACTGTAATAGTAAGGAATACATTATTGTTGAAGGCTAATACAATACACAGAGAATGCTGCTTCGGTGAGGTCTTCTTGAGGTTGATGTACTACCTGATTTTCATCTTCTCGATAATTTGTCTTGCAGCTGTCATCCATCACTACAAACAAATCTATTAACTAATTTAAAGACCTAGGTGCTTTTCAGATATGGACATAGGATTTCTTATTTAAACTTTCTCTCTTAATGAACAGTGTAGCCTGATTTTCCCAGTGGTCACATGTATTTGCTACAACTGAAAGCACTTGGAGCACATAAACTTTTATTGGTAGCAGCAGTCCTTGTCCTTAAAACACTCAACTCATCGCTAAAAGGAAGAGCCCCAAGCACTGCAGCCAAAATTCCGGTTTGGAGAATGCCTTGTTTCACTGCTGCACTTATAACAGCTTATTTTGCCATCTCCCTTAACAGCTTTTCCAATCCCAGCAACTGCTCGCCTTCCTTGGCTCAGAGACTCCTGGAATCCACGTATCCTTATGCCAAACATGGCTCAGTTACGTGTTTGAAAACACCAAAGGGGATCATAAAAGTGAACCAAACAAAGTTTAAGGTTGTTTTCCCTGACTTGCCAATTAGAAATGAAATTATGTATTTGAAATATAGAAAAGTGAGGGGACGCTGAGGTAGAATTAAGGAATCCGCCTTCATCTCCTCTCAAAGAACAAAATCAAGGTTAAAATGCTTCTACCCCAGGCTCTAGATTGGAAGTTCAAACTGCCATTGGCCAACTGGGCCCCACACTTGAAAGTTCTTTTTTGCAGTGTTGGAGGCCTTCAGACACTAAAGACTGTACAGCTCCCGACTGTACAGCAGGTGCCTACTTTAGTACGGAATGTCTCAGTATGTCTTCTGCATGCATATTAATTCATGGGAGCCAACAGGCACAGGCACATAAGTTGTTCTGTAAACGCAACAAAGCTGAGCCTGCTATCCAGTATAAATAGTTTTCTTGAAGCAAATGAAACTACAGTCCAGCAACTGATTTCAGCTTACTTTGTGCGTGAATAACATAAGAGCTGAGGCTCCCACCACTCACAATAGGTTTAAGACTCTTAAAGATATAGAAACTGCCTGACCCATAGTAGTTCTAAATAAATATTTAGTTGCAACACAGCAGGATTCTTATCATCTTTGCTAGCCAAACTGCACACCTTAATTAATTTTCAATCAGAAATATTTTGTACCATTTTTAATGGTAATTAACAATCCTCTAGTACTAATCAGAAATGAAGTGCTTGGGGGTTGCCTCCCATGGAGTGAGAGAAGCTTATTAAAATCTTTCAAATGTTAGCTAACCTTAGAGTATAGTTTCTCAGGGAAACAGGTGAGGAACATTTCCTAAGGCAGACACTCTAATGCCTAGGTACATTTTAGACTCAAGTTGTGAAGCTTTGTCTTTTTAAAAAGTTCATGCCTAAGACTCACTTTCAGTTAATCAAAACCAAATCCCTAGAGATTTGGTATTGGTACTTAAAACATTTTTCAACTTGGTTCTAGTTTACACCCAGCATGAAGAGTATCACTCCAGTACATGAATTTGTTTTTTAAAATTTTTAATTTTAAAGAGATTAAGACAAAAGAGAACATAACAAAGCAAATCAGATCAGAACAATAAAAGCAACATGGCATTTTACAACAAGACAACCCATAATTAACAGTAACCACCATAATGTCCTTTCTTTGAAAAGGTTGAGCATAACTTCATATACGATAGCTTCAAACATAACAAAACAGTATAAAACCGTTCAAAAGATTGAAAACATTACAGGTAATTCAGAACCAAATAACAGAGAATAAACAATGGCTACTATACTATCTCATTTTCCATAGAAAATTTGTTTATACTATCACACATAGTAAAATCCAAAAAGATATAATATGATAGAACCATTGAAAACAGAAAAACAAAAGCATAGTAGGACTTCAGAGTAAGATGATCTTAAATCAGCACCGGCTATCACAATGTCTTCTTTTCTCAAAATAGCTGTTCATACCATCACAGATAATAAAATCAAACAAACCAGGATAACACCATTCCAACTAATGAATGCAAACATTAAAAGGCTTCAAAGAAATGCAATGGGGAATTATGATTACCATAAACTTTTATGTACTCTTACCATTTCTTACACTAGGGAGACTATACAGTATTTATACATGTGAGTTTGATTTATTTTGCTTATCAGTATGGTCTCAAGTTGCGTCCATTTATTGTAAATATCTCAATGTGATCATTCCTATAGCTGAGTAGTACTCCATTATATAAAAATGTCACAACTTTTTTATCCATTCCTCAGTTGATGGACACCTAGGTTGTTTGCAAGATCTGGCTATTACAAATTGTGCTGCTAGAGAGCTGGAATTGGTGAACCAAACGGCATTGAGAGTGGGACTGGCAGGGAGCCCTGCATCGACCTGCAGTGAGTGAG